GATTAGTGCATAACACTTTTAACATCATGTCTATTTTAGTCATTATTCACAGTTACAACAATTTTATATTAAAATTTACCAAACGGTTTTAACACTGCTTTTTGTACTAACAGCACTTTAAAAATAGTGTTTACCAAACATGGAGCTGCTTTACTTTACAGCTAATTATTTTTAAAGCACAGCAGAAGCAACTTTTTTTAAAAGTGACAGCAATCCCAAACTAGGCCTAAGGATCGATAATTTCATCTCATTAATTTACGCGTCTCATGAGAAAGAAAACAAGTCAAATAAGGAAGCCTCCAAACCGTGTGAGCCTCCTTCAAGCTTTGTAAATTCTTCAATGGCCTACCCTACCTAATTAATGTTGTCTCTATATGGTGGATTTGTGTATTTTAGGTACCGTGCCTGTGAAGATCAATATCGTTTCCTATATCATGGCCATGACCATTTTAATAAGCACAATGATTTTTAATCTGATCAAATTAAGCAATCACAATTTTTACTATTATTATTTTTCAATGTAACACAGCTCTGGATCTGATAAAGAATGTAGAAGTGCAAGCAATCCTGGGACCAGAGACATCGATGCAGGCCAGCTTCGTTGTCAATCTTGGAGACGAAGCTCATGTGCCCATTGTATCATTTTCTGCATCAAGTCCCTCTCTTGCTTCGCTTCGGAGCCCCTACTTCTTCCGAGTTACACAGACTGACTCATACCAAGTGAAGGCCTTAAGTTCCATTGTTAAAAATTTTGGATGGAGACATGTTGTGCCGATTTACGTGGACAATACGTTTGGAGAGGGAGTCATACCCTTTTTAGTTGATGCATTGAAAGAAGTTGATGCTCATGTCCCCTATCGGAGTGTCATCCCCCCATCAGCCACTGATGAACAAATCGAGAAAGAGCTTTACAAGTTGATGACCATGCAAACTAGAGTCTTCATTGTGCATATGATGCCCCATCTTTGTTCTAAGCTATTTGCCATGGCAAATAAGATTGGAATGATGAGTGAAGGCTATGTTTGGATCACGACGAATGGGGCTGGTAATCGTTTGAGGTCATTGGGACCGGTCGTCTTGAGGTCCATGCAAGGGGTTCTAGGTGTGGAAACAGAGGTTCCAACAACAATGGAGCTTACAGAATTCAAAATGCGGTGGAAAAGGCAATTCCAACAAGACAATCCGGCCATCATTGATGTCTATGTTGACGTGATTGGCCTTTGGGCTTATGATGCTGCTTTTGCACTAGCCTTGGCAGCTGAACAAGTTGGGGATACAAGCTTTGGTTTCCAAGAGAGGAATGGTTCCTTCAGCTCAACAGATCTTGATACTTTTAAGGTCTCTCAATATGGTCCAAAGCTTGCCCAGGCCTTATCAGATACTAGATTCAAAGGCATAGCTGGAGACTTTAGTCTTGACTGTGGGCAACTTCAATCATCAAGATTTCAGATACTCAATGTAAATGGTGATGGAGTAAGAACAATTGCATTCTGGACACCAGAAAATGGTATGGTGAAAACATTGAGTTCAACAAACACCAGTATACTTTCAACTTCCGAGAAGTATGATTTTGGACCCATCATATGGCCTGGAGATTCTCTGTCTGTTCCTAAAGGATGGGAGATCCCAACAAGTGGCAAGAAGTTGAAAATAGGAGTTCCTGTGAAGGTTGGTTTTACTGAGTTTGTTAAGGTAACCAAGATTCCTAGCACAAACACAACAGATGTTACGGGGTTCAGTATAGATGTCTTTAATGCTGCAGTGGAAGTATTACCATACGCTCTT